AACTAATACGGTATCAGAATTTTATATATTTATACTTCTCATTCAACCACAATTAAATTCACTCTATCTAAGAGGCACAATTTATATGGATAGTATTTTTTTTGTGATAACAAGCTGGATTGAAAACAAGCAACAAGGAAATAAAAGTAACGACTTTCTACTTCTTGTCTTTTTTAAAAATGTAAGGAGACAATTGTGTGAAAATGTAAGAAGTAGAAGTAAAAAGTAGACTGAAAAATAATTACTCAAGTAAAGTACAAATACCCAAAAATTCTACTTAAGTACAGTTACAAAGTATTTGTACTTAGTTACTTTACAACTCTGCTGATAGGTGCTATGATAATAAGCTGACAGAATCTCACTTGAAAATGGTCAAACTGATGAAAAATTAGTTTGAGACGTGGTATAGAATAAAAGAACAATTTTCAGGTAAGCATTAACATTTAAACAAAAAGTTTGTATATTTATAATCCAGTTTTAAAGTTTGTGCTTCACTATTATTACAAAAAAAAGCCTTTTAATAGAATTTGAATTCAGTCCAACTGTTTTTACACTGAGAATGGGGGGAAACCCCCCCCCGAAGTAACGATCAAACCAACGTGGGACTCTGCAACTCTCGATGAAACCACACGGAAGAAAATCCTCCCATGACGCTGGAACAAATGATTTGCTCAAACATCTGTAATAAAAATACGATAAAATAGTAGCTACAGGCTACGTTTGTTGGGGACTGATGCTTTTGCACGTTGAAAGCTGCGCTTAGAAGAAAGTGCTGTTTTGAGCAAGAGTGGGAACGTTTACTTGATCAGTGTCGAAGCTTTTAGCTTCTCTAATTCATAAACCTCTCGTTGTGGGGGCTTCTCTGCAGATCCCCTGAAGTGCCTGCTGGATGTTCTCCAGAACCCCTGAGGAACAGAGTCCAGAGTCGGCTCAACCTGCTCAAACCCAAGGTAACAGACTCCTTCCTCCAAGAGCCCCAAATCCAAACCATCACTTACTTCAAATTGAATCAGATGTGCAAACACTGAAAATAATGTCTTTACATCCTGTAATTTCTCCCTGGTATTGTATTATTTATTTGCTTAGCTGAAGCTCGCAACTGCCTTCCACAGTTCTCATTTGCACAGCTGCGTTTTAGCTCCTAACGTTGGTTTGAGGGTGCAGTTTTAATGCAGGGCATAAAATGAGTTATTTGTGGGGAGCTCAAACCATTAACCATTCCTGATGATAAGTTATTCTATTGTCAAGGCTCATTTGACTGCAGTGCACCATGCTGTATATTTAATACCAATATTTACTGCACTGTGGTGTTCCCTGTAGTCACTTTGAAAGAATCGTGGCCCTTTCTTCTGATTCTCTACTAATTTTGATTCTAATTTTTAGAGTTTCGGTGCTTTTGTTGTTATGCCTCTATGGAAAGGGTCATTTGACTTTGAGGAAACATGTTATAATAGCTTAAATATACTTTTACACAAATGTTTACATGGGTAACATGAAATGAAAACTCCACAGTGACATAATGGTGTTCTGTGAAAGCACTTTTCCTGGTTATTATTCAGTGCTGTAATGCAGGAACAGGAGCAGACATGGATGTAAACTGAAACTCGGCCCGGTTGACGGAGGCAAATAACCGCAGGGCGGTAATTCTAAATTCAGCTGTAAAAATGTTCCACTTGCTATGCATCTTTGTCACAATAACTTTAGTGGGGATCCCTGCTGATTTTCACACATGAAAGTTTCATGAGTTGGATGGACTCTGCGAAAAGCTTTTTGTGACTTTGGAGGAGGATGAATGAAATCTGATGAACTAAAGTCTGAGAATAACTTGCTGCCCCTCACCTCCACTTTAAGCTAGCAGCTAAATGCATCTCATTGGTTTGTCAAAAGCTGATCTGCATGAGCGTTGACATAACTAGAAAAATGGTAGCACCATAAATGCACAAAAATTACCACAAATAAGACCACAAATACAGGACGGGAACAAACAAACAAAAATAATGTTTGTTTTTAAAGAGATACTGTCTAGTTTAACACTCAAAGACAACAAGGACTCATAACGTGACGTTCACCAAAGATCTAAATCTTTTGACTGTTTTTTTTTTATGACCATACGTAGTGACGTCACAAACTGAATAGCTCTTTGAGATGAACAAACCTAGAAGATCTGGATTCCTTCAAAGTGATTTAAACCCCATTTCTGGTCTAAAACATTGATGAGAAATGTCCATGTACTTCCTTTTTTTAAAAATTCAGCCGGTTGATCAATCAGCACTCATTATGGACCCCATGCGTCCAGCATTCTGGGTTCAACTGATCCAGAAACCAGTACATGAGGAGACACACATCGGCTAAGTCCCAACAAAACATTCAGACAAAAAAAACCTACGTTAAAGCCCTAACTCCACCTACCCAAAAACGATCCAGTTTTTTGATTGGTTTAAAAAAACATTGTGAGAAAGGTGTGTGTGTTTATATTTCCGAGTCATGCCAAAAACAATAACAATTTTGAAGTAAAAATTGAGTTTTGTCACATAAAGCTAATCACGTGTGTGAACCCTTTTAAGCTGAACACATTTTGTTAAACGGAGCCTTTTATTTGATTGTGCTACCAGATGTCATTTAGCTCCCCACAATCTGGCTGCCTTCCTGTTTGAGTGTGCTGTAATGGTCCCAGGGCAGCTCACCGCTTCCTGAACTCTGGGAGCGGAAGCTCCCGGCATCAATTTCCTTTTGAAAACACCATATCAGCCGCGTAACTCATCTAGCATGGGGAACTTGAAAGGTTATTGTTTCCTCTTGTCTGCTGAAGGACTTTATCCCAGAGTTCTCCTGTGATTTCATCACGCACTGACGTCAACACGGGGAGATGGGCGGATTTAGCTTCTGTTTTTGGGACGTTTCCAGATCTGTTTCTTAGTGCAAACAGAGGATTTGAGCATACGGTAGAAAATCTTCACCACCTGTGTATGTGAACTAATAAAAAGCTGAGTAAATCACCTGCACCTGTTATTTTTATACTCTCAGAAATGTGTTGATCGGGTGTCTCCAGTAGGGCTGCCACGATTAGTCGATTAATCGACGACTAATC